CTACATTCGTTTTCTTCTTTGTTCAGAAACAAATCGTTAGTTTTATTTAGAGATTAAAATATAAAATGCAGCAAAGAGGGTTTGGGTGATCCTGGCACAGTCAGGCTGGTTAGGCTCATCATCAGCTCAGGGCCCTTGTCCCCTCTACACACAGCCCAGACAGCGAATGGGACTTCTCCCAGGAAGCGCTGCCTAGTAAAACCCACCCAGAACTTTGCAGAGAACATGAAGATTCCCCAACACTGCAGCTTTCTGCATCATCCAGAGTGCCACAAGGGCTGTATTCCTGGTATCAAACCCGGGTACTTTCACAATGTCAGTCAACAGATTGAGAGGTACCAAATCTAAGGCACCGAGAACAATGGAGAGTTGGACAACTTGGTACTTGGGATGCAAGTGTGACATTTTGAAAGCGAGCTGCGCATATTTGCCATGTTTTTCCTCAATCTTGTCAATCACATTCGTGTCAAAAGGGACAGAAATTTCAATCAGACAAGATCAGGTTTGTTGGCCTGGATACGTCTGAGGCTGTATACGGGTCGTACCAAGGATGGACCTCTGTGTCAAAACCACAAGCATTGTGAAGACGGTAATTAAATGATCGAGCCACTCCATCATATCGCTTAAGATACTGTGTTTGAGCCAAAGCTGGGCATCCACTGACAATGTGTTGGACAGCCTCATTAAATTCATTACATAATCTACATTTCATATTTACATTTTGATGCAAAATCACACATTGATGGTTTCGAGTGGGAAGTGACTGGCCCTGAGCAGCTAAACCTCCTGTTTCACACTTCATGCCGACTTTATCCAAGCGAAGGACTCTGCAGGGATGCTGACGCTCATTTTCGGACAGGCGTGGCATTTCATAATGTTGAATAATTGCCTAATTTTGTTGTTTTTCTGAGTGGTTGTTGTCAGCACGATGCTAAACAATGCATATGGAATCCCCTTAACTCACATGTTTTTATACCCATTCTTGGGTAGTGAAATGCATGCGGTTTGCATAAAAGTCAACTTTTGCATGGAATGCATGCTTTTTTGTAGCAGTTGCGTTTTTGTGACTTGATTAAATACATGTACTACAATATTGAAAACCAAACTTTACTTGTGTCACAGGAACTTTTATTGTTGTAGTTAACGTTTCCTGTGTCATAACAACACGCATATACTGTCTGTTGTTATTTCCCTTTTACACCATTGCAGATTAAGTGAATGGTTTTTTATTTTCCATATGAAGTGGTGGGCAGTTCTCAATGTTATTACGGGTGTCTCCTCTTTACCTACAGGTGTTAGTAATCGGCATGCCACAACTGTCGTGCCGTCCTTATGCTCATGGCCGCATCACACAATGACATTCATTGTGTGAATAACATCGTTCCTAGCTTTCACAGAGATGATGCCACAAAGAGATTAGTCTACTGTCGTACTACATGTATGGCATTACCTGAACGTGTCAATGTCATACATCAATACTCTATCTACTTGCTGGTCATGGTTGAGGATGTATGTACACAAATCCATAAGCGGTAGGGGGCGGTCGGGTAGCCTAGTGGTTAAAGCGTTCGCTCGTCACGCCGAAGATCCGGGTTCGATTCTCGACATGGGTACAATGGGTACAATGTGTGAAGCCGTGATATTGCTGGAATATTGCTAAAAGCAGCGTAAAACCATACTCACTCACTCACTCATAAGCGGTAGAGATATTCTTTCACTGTCTGCTGATCCACGCTGTTGGTCATGTGCACAGACCAATAAACGCCATTGCTCAACATCCCACGACCTATTCAAGCAGTCAGCACACCAAAAACCACAGGTGGCCCACATCTGGCATCTTATCGGCATACATAATTTGTGAGTGAGTGAACATGATTTTACCCAGTTTTTGCAATATTTCAGCAATATCACGTCAGGGGACACCATAAAATGGCTTCACACATTATACTCCTGTGCGATATCCAACCTTTGGTGTGTCAAGCCGCTAGGCTACTCCACCGCCCCACAGAATATGTACATCTCTTGACAGTTCACACACTGATTCGAACACACTCTTGGAGTGTATGACTTTAACGTCCTTCGTCGCTGTACCATCAAAATAAATTCTCTGTGATTCGACAGTGAAGTTTCTACAGACATCACCTTTCATGTTGCCGCCTCTCACATCAGCATTTAGCAAACTTTATTTTATGTAACCGAGGATATTGTCATCATATTCGATCAGGACAAGTGACACATGAACGTTTGTGAATGGGAGTGATATATATTTGCAATGTCATTTAAAATCCGGTACGCTACCGGCAAAAAACATGGAAACTGGTGAAATGATAGCAAAGGTGTAATGATAATTTATTTCGGTCGTGTAGATCAGTATCTGGTGTGTCGATCATGTTACATGACGCCTCGGTGGCCAACTGTTGATTTACTAGCGTGAGGTTGCCCTTGGTGTTGTCCGCCATTCGGCCTAAAGAGGGTTTCCTTAAATTGACCACGTTGGCAGGTGGAGGTTCTGGCATAGCCTCTTGATTGTGAGTTCCCCCTTCGGCGATAACTTTGACTTCTGTGTGCATGTGCATCACGTGCTGTACATGTATTATGTGATTTTGCGTTCAGATACAACGCCACCGCTTTGTAAATATACACCTCAACGACACCTTGATTCAAATCATTAGTACCCTTATTTTTTGTCGATAGTATACATTCATTATCTTGTGTGATTATGTACTGTATCTTTATTATATATTTTCATTTACTGTGATTATTCGTGTGTTTTGGTCATTGTCGTTGGGACTCTAGTATTATTTGCATAATTGTCTTTGTCTAAAAGTATCAATGTGTTTCACTCAAACTAATTACCATATCCCATATTGGATAATAGATCCTGCTTCCCTTCCTTCATGAAATTATCATTAAACCGCCCGCATGTTATCAGCGGGCCATTGTAACTTGATAATGCCCTCATATTGCTTGACGACGGGCCATTATTACGCCTGTTGTTAGGTAACTTCATGTTGATTAGTGACGGCATGTTTGTAAAAGTGGGTCAGTGACATTCGTGTTGATTGCAGTACATGTTTTAAAACCGATGTTGTTTCTTTTTATTTGATAACAAATTCCATCGTTATTACCTATAATAACGGCTCCTTCGTCGGGCACTTAATGGAAGAACTGGGGCTTCTGCAAATGATAATTTCCTGTAAAATACCGTTACCCTTATAACACACCATGTGTAGTCCCCTGATGGGTTTCGAACTACGGGCCTTCTGGTCTGAGTTTATGCTTTACGTCACATCGGCCATATTTCAGCCATATCGTGACAGTATTTATCCATATATTCAAACCAAATAAGAACCTGTCGGTGAAGGACAGTAAAATTACTAGAATATCACAGATGTATATGTAAAACTAGCATACAACTATAAAAAGATATCACTATAAATTACGGTACAATATAAAAAAGGGCTATAGTTCAACAGCAGCTGAAGGTAGATCACCATGCTAGGGTGCATGGGGACTTGCAGTACTTTTGCTACCTGCATGGACCCCAGCCGGATTCGGCAGGTAGAAGGTATAAACGTACACGCTATATGATTCCCTTCAAACATACAGACTGAGTAGATAAATGTCTCCAAGACTTTCTGGAGCATCATGAATCAGTAACATTATTCCTTTAACAAAAGGATGGTCCAGTATTTACAACAAAAGAAGTGAAGAGTCTTCCAGTCAATATAGCTAGTATGTTTTCTATTAGTTCTTAAAAGGTTTGTAAAATATTGTTTAAAAACTGATTTTTTATATCATTCTTTTAATTCATCTTTGAAATTTACATTTACAGATAATATGCAACTGATTAATGATCCCTTGACATTGAATTGACATTGGCATGTGTGAGTACCACGCCATAGATAGATACATAGCTAATCTTTATTTCCTCTAATTGAATAAAGATTACAATATGCAGAGATAATTAAGTTACATGTTTAACATGGATTTGGGGTATATTTAAGCATGTTCATAAACATACAAGTTGTCTTACGTTATTGTACATGTCTTACTGGTGTCAAAATATGTAGCACTCTTAATCAAACAATCTCCAAAAGGAGGAAGTAAAGATGATGAACAGCCAAGTTGACCGGACAGAGTGTGTATATGACGAACTCTCTAACTTTATATTTGTCCCTTAAAGAACCCACTAAGTTGATTTAAAATTTTACAGTTAAGAGAACATAAGATGCGTTTCACATTCGAAATGTTTGAACATTAGACACATTTTTAACGATATTGGCTATCTTGTTCTATGAAAGTTTCACAGTGGAAATGTTATTGGAATTCATTTTGTATGCAGGGAACGCTGTAACGTTTACATTAACTTCTATATCTGGGGCTATTGGTCCATCTATAAGTCTTAATGAGTAGATAATGATGAGATGCTCTGAATTCAAGAAAAGGAAATTATACAAATTAAGGGTTAAAAAGGTTCATTTCCGAAATGAGGCACATGCTTGAAATCCTTTGAAGCTTGATGCGACTTTATTGGTGTTGATAGAAGATATTCTGTGTAGTCGTATGTTGTTACCTTGTTAAAACAACATACATTGGACAACCTTTTTCAAAAACAACACAACAGTGTACATTTGATATTATTGGTTAGTTTATTGTTTGTGTTAAGTTAGTGAGTTAAAATGTTACATCGCATCCGCAATATTGCCGCCACATCGCAATGAGAACAATATAATCATTTCTAAATTCCTGTCAACAAGGACAGTACAACTATAGTTGCCATAACATATTTCAGAAGTAAGACACAATTCAAAAGTGCTAAAGAACAATCTTTAGGACAGATTACACCAGATTGTTGTTGTTTCCTGTATGTTTGAAATGTGTAATTGCCTCTGTCATCCCACGGTTTCACGCGTTAACCTGATGATGTTTGAACAATATAAGTATTGCAGCTACCAAGAATGTCCAGGTACGTAGATGTAGTTGTGTATGAAAATGCATCAGACAGTGGAAAATGGTAGGGCTGACAGGGAATACACCCGCTCAAGGGTTTGGGGTACTCTCTTTTTAGTGTACATTTTATGGATCAAATTCACATCTTTTAAAAAAAGTTTGCCTATAATCCCCATCATTGCTTTGTTTTCTGATGTGATAAAGATATGAACGCTGTCCTTTGGATTTAGGTGTTGCAAGAGTCTTTTCAAGAGTGCCCACGCGATGATGTCACTATCAGCATATAAAGGCGCAATCTCATTGCAATATTCTGTGGCACCTAAACATCCATATCCTACGACAACCCCGGTATGAGATCGAGCAATAAGAATATGTTTTGCATGGCTGATGATCCAGTTTTGGAGGAAGTAATCCCTCTCGCTTTCACATACTTTGTCGTCGTATACCTTCAACTCAGTAAACATGGAGCCTTCGAAGGGGACAATACTGATATCTGGACTCACTTCTGCATCAGGAATTGCCCCCAGTATGGCTCCTGCTGGCCCACGTTTTTGGTATACGTCATAGTAGAAAGTGAAGCCATGGGTGTCGTAAAGGCTGACCGAGATCGCGGAGAGGGTGATGTTGGCCTCCCCGACTGCAGTGAGACCAACACGGTTCACGTCCCGTCCGATTCCTTTGCCTCTCAGGTCCCTCCTTACGATATACAGGCCACCTTCTGCTGTCTCCTCGTTAAAATACGCCAAGACTCGGCAACCTGATGAAAGAACATAATATAGATATATGTATAAACATTTGGGGAATAATCAACATAATCCTAACAAACCTTCTCATAATTAAATGAGCCAAGTATAAGATATACAGCAGATGAATCCATGTGATAAAGGAACCAAAGTCTCATAACAGCGAATAATGCTCAAAACATTGTCCATGAAAACAGGTAACCCACTTCGATTACACAGAAGCAAGTTAATATACGTATGACAAATATACACACCTTGTAAAGGTGCACTATCATCATACACAATTAATTTTTAACTTAGAGACATAGCCTATACAACAAATGTTAAGAACCACCCTTCAACACGTATATCTAGTTATCCACTTTAGTTTTTCATCTCACATAAATAATCTGCATTCTTTTGACATATCTAATCGCCTCATTATTCCGACGCTTCCTTGTGTAAACCTGATGATCTATACAACTTTATTGAGATTTGTGTTTTTCTTCCGCGATGAGCTCACTAACAAGCGTTGCGGTCATGACCAAATATTTCCTAGAAGTGAAGCAGTATTAGCCTGTGTTATATTTTGCAAGTACGTCGTATTCATAGCCATGAACCTGCCCCTATATGAGTGAGTGAGTGAGTGAGTGAGTGAGTGAGTATGGTTTTACCCCGCTTTTAGCAATATTCCAGCAATATCACGGCAGGGGACACCAGAATTGGGCTTCACACATTGTACCCATGTCGGGAATCGAACCCGGGTCTTCGGCGTGACGAGCGAACGCTTTAACCACTAGGCTACCCGACCGCCCCTGCCCCTATATGATAACTAGTTAGAAGGCGGTCTACGTCCTGATTAGCAGCATTCGATCGTGTTGAATATTATGTATTACATTTAGGTGCGGGAACCGGAATCATCCTCACACATATACGGCCGACCAGATATGGTTGCACCTGTTGCCAAAGCCAAATGTTCCTTTGATTGGCAGCAATTTTATCCCTCTCCCCAAATACATTGACGATAAAAACAGGCTGTTCTGAATGTGCAAAGCACAGCTAAAAATGTTTTATCTGGTCAACACTTGCTGCTCTGCAAACATACAAAAAGAGAAAATAAAAACCCACCACATGAGTCTAAATTGAATCTAAGTGGAATTGACATGCCTATATCACTATGTCAAATTTCCAAAAATGAAAACCAGAACATTTCCGTGCAGTGAACGGTGATATTGCTGCGCTTGTTGTACGTGTGTTTGCACAGCTACCCATGCTACATCGTGGGAGACTTTGGCAAAGGCAACGCTTCCGGCTGATTCCTGCAGATGACATATCTTTAACAATTGGACCAAACAAGAGTCATATAATTTCTTTCGTTTGAGGGACGAATTAGAACGAAATTATCTTCTCCTAACCTCGGAAAGCACAACAAAGGGAGGTAACCTGGCGTAACCTGGCGTATATAAGTAAAGGAGGGAAGTTGAACCTTCATTCTCAGCCCTTAAAAAAAACCGCACACGTAGAATGAAGTTCATTGAACCTGACTACACAAAAAATCCGGTATATAATTGGATATATGTTATTCGAAAATGATGGTATCCTGATATTCGACAAACGGTGCGTGAAAACGCAGCCATTGTCGATTTGCAATGTCTTAAATGTAATTGTTTTCACACTTGTTCAAAAATGTCATGGACGAAAACAGTAAACCAAAATACTCGTGGAAGTTATGACATTCCTAACTCGTGGGATTGGCTATAAAAAGGCAAGCATAAGCCAATAATTTGTCATTCAATTGTCAATATTTTTCAAGTTCGAGAATGCCTAACGGAACGTCGCCATAGGACGTATCCAAAGCAGGGAATCACAGTCTTCTGTTGCACGCCACTTCAACGTCCACCACAGCACCATTTGCCGCCTTTGTGACCGATACACACAGTTCAATTCCACTTCAGACCGTCTGAGAACAGCTGACCAAAGGTTACCACCCCTGCACAGGATCGCTACATCGACTGTTACACCTACATCCCCACAATGCCACAGCTGCGGAGACTGCAGGACAATATCCCTGGTTTAAGGAGGATATCAGACCAGACTGTCAGGAACCATCTTAGCGAGGCTGGAATTCGACCCCAAAGACCAGTTATCACCCCTGTTTTGCAACAGATCCATCGACAGCGACGCTTGCGTTAGGGCCATTCCTTACAGGCTTGGAATTTGGGAAACTGGAGACGAGTGTGGTTTAGCGATGAATCACAATTTCTTCTTCAGCCGTGAGATGGAAGACAACGTGTTCATCGTCGTTGAGATGAGCGTTTTGCCCTACATTGTGTACGTGAATTCGGCAATTTCGTTGGCGGTAGTGTCATGGTGTGGGTGTGGGGTGGTTCAGGGAAATTTGACAGCAAGTCGCTACATGAATCAACCTCACCTTCTTCCAATCATTGACCGCCAGAGGGAGCTGTTTCAACAGGACAACGCTCCACCGCACACAGCTGGTGTCATGGTAGACTACCTCATAATGCCAACATCAACGCCTTGCCCTGGCCGTCGAGATCTCCAGATCTCAACCCAATCGAACACCTGTGATGAACTCGATCGACGTGTACGTCAACGTAAGAACACACTGCAGACACTCCCACAACTGGCCAACGCGTCACAAGCAGAATTCGCGCACTTATCCAGTCAGTGCTGAGGAGCCTTGATTGTTGCCCAGGTGGCCTTATTTGACATGACAATGAAGAATTTTCAATGCCTGTGTACCACGGCATGTGACTATCCAGCTCCAAATTTCATATTTGTATCTATGATATCAATTTAAATATATCGACTTTATTAGGTACAATTAATGTACTAAAAATCTACCTGTGCATTTTTTTTTTGAAGAGTGTATGTGTTGTGATGTTGAGAATTGTCCTTCAAGTCTCAAGTGTAATGAAAGTGGGAGTGAAATGAAGAGTTGATAATTGTTCACAAATGATGCATACATTGTGCTGTTCGAATAAATAGTAATCATTTGTTTTGGGCGGTATTTCATCTTAGAAACGTATTTTAATCAGTTAAATCAGCACCCGAATACACAATCGACTCATGCTTACCCTAGCAATCATGACCTTGACCGCCGACTTACTTCTCATCCCCTATACGAGTTGTGTGCATCTTTACACAGATCACTGAAGTCAGTTGGAATTTGTCACTTACCGATTATTTCGCCAGTTTCCGATTCTGCAACAACCCAAGCCCTTGAATCCATATCAAACACGCAATACATTGAGCCAATTGGAATTTCCCACTCTTCAGCATCAGTCAAGGTTTTAATTGCTCCTATATCAGCTCGAGTTGCCTTTCTCACAGTGTACTTTGGAACAACAGCCATGTCAGTGTTGAAGGGAGATCGGGAGGGAACAGAGACCACAGTGAGTTCTTTACAACTGAGGGCGATCGGGACGCAATGAGTCCGTACGGGTCAAGTCTGAGTGTCACAGGGTCGTGTTATCTACTTTTATAATAAGGCCATCGGACTCAGGGTTCACTGATATGACCAGCTAGTGGTGTGAGAATGTACGTGTAACGTATCTCATGGTTTTCAAAGGTCATGACGCATTATTTGAATGTCGTGGATGGTTAGCAAGAAGTTCAATAAGCATGGATTAATATGCTGTACAAACACTACATTCGTTTTCTTCTTTGTTCAGAAACAAATCGTTAGTTTTATTTAGAGATTAAAATATAAAATGCAGCAAAGAGGGTTTAGGTGATCCTGGCAAGCCAGGCTGGTTAGGCTCATCATCAGCTCAGGGCCATTGTCCCCTCTACACACAGCCCAGACAGCGAATGGGACTTCTCCCAGGAAGCGCTGCCTTGAAAAACACACCCAGAACTTTGCAGAGAATATGACGATTCCCCAACACTGCAGCTTTCTGCATCATCCAGAGTGCCACAAGGGCTGTATTCCTGGTATCAAACCCGGGTACTTTCACAATGTCAGTCAACAGATTGAGAGGTACCAAATCTAAGGCACCGAGAACAATGGAGAGTTGGACAACTTGGTACTTGGGATGCAAGTGTGACATTTTGAAAGCGAGCTGCGCATATTTGCCATGTTTTTCCTCAATCTTGTCAATCACATTCGTGTCAAAAGGGACAGAAATTTCAATCAGACAAGATCAGGTTTGTTGGCCTGGATACGTCTGAGGCTGTATACGGGTCGTACCAAGGATGGACCTCTGTGTCAAAACCACAAGCATTGTGAAGACGGTAATTAAATGATCGAGCCACTCCATCATGTCGCTTAAGATACTGTGTTTGAGCCAAAGCTGGGCATCCACTGACAATGTGTTGGACAGCCTCATTAAATTCATTACATAATCTACATTTCATATTTACATTTTGATGCAAAATCACACATTGATGGTTTCGAGTGGGAAGTGACTGGCCCTGAGCAGCTAAACCTCCTGTTTCACACTTCATGCCGACTTTATCCAAGCGAAGGACTCTGCAGGGATGCTGACGCTCATTTTCGGACAGGCGTGGCATTTCATAATGTTGAATAATTGCCTAATTTTGTTGTTTTTCTGAGTGGTTGTTGTCAGCACGATGCTAAACAATGCATATGGAATCCCGTTAACTCACATGTTTTTATACCCATTCTTGGGTAGTGAAATGCATGCGGTTTGCATAAAAGTCAACTTTTGCATGGAATGCATGCTTTTTTGTAGCAGTTGCGTTTTTGTGACTTGATTAAATACATGTACTACAATATTGAAAACCAAACTTTACTTGTGTCACAGGAACTTTTATTGTTGTAGTTAACGTTTCCTGTATCATAACAACACGCATATACTGTCTGTTGTTATTTCCCTTTTACACCATTGCAGATTAAGTGAATGGTTTTTTATTTTCCATATGACGTGGTGGGCAGTTCTCAATGTTATTACGGGTGTCTCCTCTTTACCTACAGGTGTTAGTAATCGGCATGCCACAACTGTCGTTCCGTCCTTATGCTCATGGCCGCATCACACAATGACATTCATTG